ATCTTATTTAAAAGATAGTTAGCCGACAAAATAGCTTCCCCCCACATTGACTGGTTTACACCCGAACTAATTATCATGGCATTGACCGTTTCTTTCAAGGTACGGTTCTTTCTTTCAGCAATTCCATTGGATTGAGGTGAATAGGGTGATGTGAATTCATGACGAATTCCATTTTTAGCACAAAAATCAGCATAGGGAGAAACATATTCCCCACCCCTATCACTTCTAACCACTTTAATTCTCTTGTTGAGTTGATTCTCAACTTCATTTTTGTACAAGACAAACTTCTCTATTGCTTCATCTTTACTCTTAAGTAAATATATGTAGCAATATTTCGTGCTATCATCGATGAATGTAATGAAGTATTTGTTCCCACCTTGAGTAGAAATTGACTTTAGATCACACACATCAATGTGAATTAAATCAAGAGGTTCGGTGTTTCTTTTGATTGTTTGGAAAGACAATCTAGTTTGTTTGGCTTCAACACATGTGGGGCATTTGTGATTTGAGTCAATATTAAGTTTTGGTATGTATTCTAGTTTAATTAATCGCTTAATTGAATTGTAATTTACATGTCCTAAACGACCATGCCAAACATTTGAACACTCAAGCAAATAAGCAGAACTAGAACTTTCATTATTCATTTTGTTTGTCACCATTACATTCAATTTGAACATGCCATTCAAGGCATATCCTTTTCCCACAAACATACCATTTTTGGACAAAACAAACTTGTCCGACTCAAACACTAGCTTAAAACCAAATTGGTTCAACAAACCACCCGACACTAGATTCTTACGAAGTTCAGGAACATACAAAACATCCCTAAGCTTCACTTCTTTCCCCGAAGTCATTTTTAGAATGACATCACCAACACCTTTGATATCCGCGGTAGCTGCATTTCCCATATAGAGCTTTTCACCATCTTCAACTTCTTTGTAGGTGTTGAAAACACTCTTGTCATGACACACATGACGAGTAGCTCCCGTGTCAATCCACCACTCCTTTGAATTTGTATTCATGAGATTCACTTCAGAAACCATAGCCGTGAGATCAGTTATCATGGCCACCAACTCCATGTTATCATTCACCATGTTTGCTTGACGGTTTTCCTTCTTAGGTTGAGGGCACTCCGAAGCCTTATGACCTGGTTGGCCACAGTTGTAGCACTTGAACTTCTTTTTTGAAAGTTCCTGCCTTGGGGCCTAGGTTTTTGCCCTTTGCTTTCCTTTTGTGAGGTCCCTTGCCTTTGCTTTTGGAAGTTTGACCAGCTTCCACCATATGAACCTTAGAAGATTCAACTTCACTGCCTTTCTTCAAGGCCATTCTATTGTCTTCTTCAATGCGAAGACGCACCACCAGTTCCTCCACAGATATCTCCTTTCGCTTATGCTTAAGGTAATTTTTGAAGTCTATCCAACCAGGAGGAAAACTTTTCAACCATTGATGCAACTTGGAATGATTCATTAAGATCCATCCCTTCTGCATTGTTATCATGTATGATGACCTGAAGGTCTTGGACTTGACTCATAACAGATTTCGAGTCAACCATTTTGTATTCCAAGAACTTAGCAACAACATGCTTCTTAGTTCCAGCATCTTCTGTCTTATACTTCCTTTCCAACGACTCCCATAGTTCCTTAGCAGTTGCAACTTTACAATAAACATTGTAAAGTGCATCTGTTAGCCGTTGCGGCACAGAAATTCTGAATGCTTCCATGCATCCACTGCATTCACAGATTAAGCATCAGCCTGCCCCTCAGCAATTACAGGAGCATTTTCTGTTAGGAACGGAGCCAGGTTCAAGGTGGTCAAGTAGAACAGCATCTTCTGTTACCACCTCTTGAAGTTCAGACCAGAAAATTTTTCAGGTCTCTCAGCATGATTAGCCATAATGTTTGGAACCGGTGCATTTGGGTTCACAGCAGGGGTAGCACCAACAACAGGAGTTCCAGTACCAACGGGAGTTGCAGACAGTCTGAAAGAATCGTAACCACAATCAAATATATCACAGGAAAAAATCGATACAAACTCGATTTTAGAATAAAAGAACAGAAAACAAAAGTTTTAGAACAAAGAATAAATCTGTTTAAGACTGTTAGTATAATGTCTTCGTTTTCGTCCTTGAAAGCTTCCTGTAAAGAAAAAATTAGATGCAAACGATGTGGCTGAGGCTCGAGTTGGACTCGATTCCCTTAAACAGATTCGTCGTCTGTTCCCAGGGTACAACAACCTAAACAGTATTGTGTACTGCCGGATATCACCACTTGCCTGAAAGAATCGTCGGAAGCAGGAGTGCAGAGAAGGAAGAAGAAGAGTAATTTCATTCGTGTGTTTGAATGAGACGGCAAGGTCTTCTTTTATAGTTGAATCGTGAAACGGAAACAAATCACTAATATATTGAGTGTTTAATGGCAATAAATGTCATTAATTACGCAATTAATGCATCCGTTACAGAATTCAAAAATAGGGACCAAAACTGTCAAGTTTAGCAAAAATGGGAGTAGCGCGGGTAGGAATTGTAGCATAACCATAGACACAAGCTTGTAAGCCTTCCATGCAATGGAGCTTATAAACCTTGTTGAGTTTGGTCTCTCTACCAATGTGGACTCATTCCCACATTCCTCTCTTTTGCTGAACTTATTTCTCAAATACCCATTTTTGAGTATCGATATCTCATTCACTTATACTCTATTTTGGACATATAATATATCGTTTCGAAGTCCTCACGGAGGAGAACACAAACCTACTTAGAGTTCGTTATATATACAACATATGTATATATTTATATATGTCCAAAGTTAATAAAAATATAAATATTTATACTTAATTTCCAACATATATATATATATATATATATAGGTTCAGGATGAGGGTCGTCGGATCTGGAATATTGAGAAATTGTTGCCACCATTGACGAATCTGGAACCACTGCCAATATTGGAACGTTGGCAAATTGTCACCGAATCTGGATCTGGAACTCCGAAGTTGTAACTCGACAAACCCGGTGGCCATGTAACTGGTTGAATATCAAAACCCTAACATTATCTGACGGCGACTACGTCGGAGAAAAACACACGCTCTGATCTGAACCTTCCTATCCACTTAAGAAGAAAGAGTTCCTAGAACGAAGGGCTAACGCGTTGTTACCATCCACTTAAGAAGAAAGAGTGTGTTCGTTGTTTTGTACTTTTGTTTGATAGAGGAGGTGGACAGCAGTGGATCTTGACGGATCTGTATAAAGGTAGCGGTGGTGGATCTAAAAGGAGGTGAACGGTAGTGGAGCCGGACGAAAGTGGGTGATGATAGATCTGAACTGATGCAAATTTGGTGAGACATGGTTGACGGTGGTCCGCGGTGGCCGACGGTAGCTAGCGGTGGTGCTGCTCCAGCATGAAACAAAAGATAGAGAAAAAGAATATGAAATTTGTATATTAAAAGAGAAAGGGTGGGTGGGTAGGTTATTAGGGGTTTTATTTTTTATTTTTTCATTTTTTTAATTATAAAAATATTTAAGTAAATAAAAGAAAATAAAAAAGAAAAACAAGAGGAAGAAAAAGTCTTTTCAAGTACATTTAAATTTTCGATGGACGAAATTTGCACGAAAAAAGGACCTCAAACTATAGTTTTTTGGTAAAACCACATTGACTAAGGCTATGTTTGGCGTATTAGCTGAAAAGCTAGCTGTTAGCTGAAAAGCTAGCTGAAAAAAAAATGGCGTTTGGTAAACCAGTTAAAAAGCTAGCTCAAATATATAAATTGACATTTAAAAGAATGCGTTTGTATAATTAATTAATGAGTATATTTGAATTTTTTTTTTTTTAAAAAAAACTCCGAAAAAGCTACTCTAAACAGCTTTTTAAAAAGCTAGTTTATAAGCTACTTTTTGGTTTGTCAAACATGACAACTTAAAAAAAACTCGAAAAATAAACTAGTTGTGACGCGCCAAACACAGACTAATTTTACTCTAAATTCTAATAACTAACTAAAAGGATTTCTGCGCTTCTTGACAGGCAAGAGGAAATACATTGTGACATTGTTTAAGTTTATTATTGGCTTATTAGTTTTTCAAAAAAAAAAACAAAAAACAAAAAGAAAATTGAAATAATTGTTTGACAAATCAATACACTTATGAAAAATGTTTTATACAAATAAGTTAAAAATTATAATTTCTTTAAAACGCTTATAACTTATACCATAAAAATATAATAATGCATTAGTTCTTAAAACTAACCCTTTTATTAAAAGTCATTATTGGTAGTCTTGTATAAATAAATTAATCTAAACATTTTTTAAAAAATATAAATAAAGTAATCTGAATATTTTTATAAACTAATAACTACTTTTAACAAATATATATATATATATATATATATATATATATATATATATCTATATATTATATATATAAAGTTAAATACACAATCTCAAACTAGGGGGGCACAAAGTTCAAACCGAACTGGTTCAATAAACTTGTTTGGTTCCGATTTAAGAATAGCAACACCGGTTCAGCCCTAAACCGGTTCGGTTCAAACCGGTTCATTCGTAAAAAAAAGTCGAACCTATCTAAAACGGTTTTATAGGTTCTAAACGGTTCCATCAGTTCTAAACCGGTTCGACCGGTTCTAAATCGGTACCAGTTCACACTGTACTAAACCGGTTCTAAACCGATTTCAATGACTAAAATCTTGAACTGGTGCAAACCGACGGTTCGGTTCCTGAATCAGATCGGTTCATAATGGACCGGTTTACCGGTTCGGATCGTAGACCGGTTTTTTTGTGCACCTCTATGTCAAACCCCGCCTTACCTTTAGGCCTTTAGTATCAAGGTAACTTAAAAAATATCGAACCCAAATTAATCTTAGAAGCCCATTGGATTATCAACTGGACTCAATCAGCTCCTCTTTATGTCATGCAGTAATGGACTCATGGTGCTAAAAGATCCGATCCATTCATCACGGATGCAACATTTCATAAGATTTTTCTCAGTCGGTTATACATGTTACGTGTAGCAATTCAATTAACTGAAGTTACAGAAGGTTCACGTTGTTGATTATCATCTGAATTCAAACAGAATTACAAAACATAAATGGAATCACTTGCTATAAGGCATTTGATTTGTGATTATACGACTCATGGCATGGTAATATCCGTCAGAAACCCTCAAATTTCTACGCGTATCGCTAAAATTGGGGCTCAGAATCGAGACAAGAGTTTTGTTCTTCATTCCAAAAAATCAAATTTCCAAGGTAAGTACTAACCCTAAATTCGTATCTGTATTAACCCCTGTTGCCCAAATTAGCTCCTCAAATGATCAAACAATTTTGTTAATGATTTCAAGATGATCATACGATAGTTTTCTCTCTTGTTCAATTACAGATTTTCTCTCGTTAATTTAATCGATTCGCTGATTCGAGTTTACATGGCAAAATCAATAAACTTTATTACGACTATTAGGAAATTAGATCGAATATATTTGTGTTCTTCATCATAATCCGATGAGTTCCATGACTTCAGATTTTCAAGGTTATGCAAAACCTGTTCGTCTTTTGCCAGCCAATGAAGTGAAACCAACCACAGATTCATCATTGGAGAAGCTGATCACATCTTTCAAAGAAGACAAACTTGAATCCTTATACAAACTCACAATTCAAACGAGTAATTACTATGGATCAGGTCTCACTAACTCAAATTCAGGAATATTACTTTGTTTAGTAGACGAAAATGGTGATTCAATCTTACAAAGAATAGCTGCAACTTCAAGCACAGAATCAATAGAAAATGATGCTTCCGATGTTCTTCATTTCACAAGGGGATCCATTAATCATTTCACATTTCAAGGACCTACAATTGAAAAACTCAAAGCTCTCTGGATTGGCCTTGAATCAGGTTAGATGGAACTATAAGTTTTTTGCCACATCAGCAGTATATTACACACGTGGACAAAACTAATTACTATATTTCAGGTCAATGGAGGCCAGCTGGCACTCGTGTTATTTGTTGGTCAAAATCACAACAAAATAACAATAATCCATACGGGATTTTCCAATATGATTTCATAGCTGATGACATTCTACTCGGGGGCGAAAACGACATTTCCATGGTAGAACTTAGACCTAATTCAATCACCAATCTTTCAGAAGACAATTTAACCTCAAATCAAATCTTCTCCCAACAATCTTTCTTATCAAATGAAGAATCCATGAAAGAATACGCAGATTTAAAGTTCTCATTATTACTTTATGATGCACTTCTCATCATATCAGGAACTTCAATTGCATCTTTTTGTGGTGGAGGGAATGCAGCGTTTGCTTTTTTGACAGGTGGAATTGGTGGGTTTTTGTATCTTTTATTGTTACAGAGATCAGTTGATGAGCTGGCGTCACCGGTGCTGACTAGGACTGGCGGGCTTGATGAAATGTTTGGGCGGTTTAAGGGTCAGGTTTTGACTTTGGTTTTGGCACTTGGGTTTGCGGTTACTGTGGTTAAGTTAGGTTCGGGTGATGAGTCGTTGGTTTTGAGTCCTAAAGATTTGGTGGTTGGGATGATGGGGTTTTTGTCATCCAAAGTGGCGGTGGTATTGGCGGCGTTTAAGCCTGTTCAGGTGGTGGGGGTGGAAGAGAGGAGGTAGGGTGGTTGAGAAAATAGTTGGGGTTGTGTGTATATATATAGAAACGTAGTGATATATTGTATAAAGTTAGAGGTTAATTTCTTAGTAGCATACTTTTATTGATTTGTTTGTTATAGAATCATACTTTAATTTCCAAAATATATATATATATATATATATATATATATATATATATATATATATATATATATATATATTGTATTTTGAAAGTGTAGTTTAACGTATAATGTTGTTGGTAAGAAAAAAAATTGAAAAGATAATGTTGGAATTGGATAGATTTTTGGAAGTGTAATGTTTAATAAAAATGAACTTAAGACATACAATGGTTAGTAATAAAAAGAAATAAAAGTAAGATGATATATTATACAAATAAGTTAAATTACGTTGCTATTTCTCGTATTTAGTACTACAATGATGTGTATGGTTTGATGATGGTGATTATAAAAGTAGTTTTTTTGTCTTTGAGATAGAGTTATTGTTTTAATTATTCAACTTTAATATATTTGAAGTTAAATGCAAGAAATAGAAATTGCCACAATGTTCTAATAAGGAAAAAAAATATCATGTTAGAATTAAGTAGATTTTCAAAATATGTTGTTTCGTTACGAAAAATAACAAATAAAAGTATAGTGCTACAACATTAAAATGAAAATAGGATGGTGTAGTTAGGAAATAAATTAAAGTATATTTGCCTACTGTGTTTTAAAATACATGTATGGTATTATTAGTATACGCTAGGAAATTGTTTTTTGGACTTTCCTCTTTAATGTTGTCAAGGGATAAAAAATATATATATAAAAATGCGTTTGCCGGGAGTCGAACCCGGGTCTATTGCTTGGAAGGCAATTATCCTAACCGTTGGACTACAAACGCTGATATGTAAAATTTGTTCATTGATTGATTCAATTTGATCGTTTGGAATTAGACTTCTGTCTTTTTTTATCAACGTATATGGTGATTTATTAATATAGATTAAGTTTAAATCTATCATATTCCTTTTAAAAGTTTTCGATAAAAGCACAAAATCCATGTTTATATTTATTAAAGTTTAATGTAGATTATAATCTTACTTTTGTAATAGAATCTAGCATGATGCATTTTCTTGAAACTATCAAACCAGCAAAGTGAATAAAACATATATCAAGGACATAATTTTCTAGGATGATAAGAAACTAAGAACTATCAATAAACACAAATGATAGATGACATATCGTTTCTTTCAATACATCGTTTGAAAATAGGACAAAATTCATGAAGTTATTTTGTAATCATATTGCCCCTAATATTATCAAAAACAATAACTAAAACTAAAAAGCAATGTTGTACTAAGTAACCATATAACTAAAATATTCACTTTGAATCTATCACAAATTATGTTTAATGTTACTATCATTTGATATGGCTTCAAATTTTAGTTGTCGATTGATATAAATATCCCCTTTATCCTAACATTGATTAAATACTTGATGGAAAATTACATGAAAACTCTTAAGTTTCTTTAAAAAAACATAATGTTATCCTAATCACTTTTATGTACATGTATGCATGAATTTTGTAGGATTTTTTTTTTCATTTATGTCATGTATTAGGTTTTTCACCTTCTAACATGTTATCATCTTTTTATGTCCGTCATGAACTGAATTTTTGATTGATGTAGGACTGAAATAACATGTCACCGTTTCTTCAATTAAAAAATAAATGAAAAGGAAACAAAAAAGGTGGTTAAGAGCTTAAGATTTACACTCTCTCACATGGGATACTAGAGCCCTAAAAGAGCTTTAGATTTAAACTCTCTGTCTCCTACATGGAATACTAGAGCCTTGGAGCTAAATTGATCTATATAATGGTGAAGTTTCATATATAATGTATAAATGTTGGAAGTATTTAAATAATAATAAGGAAAATTGGCTTATCAAGTAACTATCTTCTCATATTGTTCATGTTGTGTAACTTCTCTTTTTTTATACACATTTAGGTAAACGAACTTGCTGCAAATGTTCACATATATATGACCATTATGATCGACTGTAGCAAGTTACAGTCGTGCATAATGATCATATGTGAACACTTCCAACAAGTTCATTACCTAGATGTGTATAAAAATACAATTATCCAGATGTGTACAAAACGAAAAAATACTTATCCTGATAAATCAATTTCCCTTTTTATTATCAAATAACTTTATATATATGAAACAAGGGTAATGATAACATGTGTGTTTTTGATGTTGTGATCATTTTAGGGATAATATTCTACTTTTGTCCAATCAGAGTTTATCCAACTAATCTTCAAATGAGAATATGAGGTTTATTACACCTACTTGCTGCAACTTCATTATTATTCAGATATACACTTAAGTAGGTTTTTTCATTCTTCTTTATGTCCTAATGTTTTTGGATTCAGTAATGTGTGTGTTGGCCTTTTCTCTTTAAGTTTTTGGTGTTTCTTCTTAATTTCTCAGTTTGACTTGAATTGTTTATGACAGAATTACGAAAAAGGAAAAGCAGCTGAGTGTACGTATTATCTTTCAAAAATCATATTTAATTCAAATTTTGCTAGCTTAACTTTTTGACACGTGACATTTTTCTATGATTTCTACCATTTCTTTTTTGGTAACAAATCAACTTCAATTCAAATTTTGAAAATAAAAATCATATCATAATAACATTTTCGAAATATATGATGTCTATCTTTCAAAAATTATATTGAATCTCTCAGATTTTAATGTATCCCAATAAATCAAGGATACATTCTCCTAATTACCTTTTTTATTTTATTTTTTTCTATATAATAAACATACCCATTAAATCAAGGATACATTCTTCTAATTATCTTCTTTATTTTATTTTTTTGTCTATATAATAATTTTAAACATGTCTACTGTGGTTTCTATGGGTTATAACTTAGTATTAATTATAAGAGAAATTAAATATTTTCCTAATTCTTTTTACTATATATCTGTCTACCCATGTTAAATGGTGACAATTGTCACATTTTGAAAAATTAATAATATTTTTAAGACACTTTTCACAATGGTTAGCAAAATAAGTAAGAAGAAAAGTAGAAGAATATTCAATTCTCAAACTATAAATACAACTTGGAATGGTTTTACTAAGAAATTTGTAACAGTTTAAAATTACTATTTTGGAGAGTTAGTTGTTTCAAAAAAGCATGCGTTTCCCAAAAAAATAATAAATTGTCTATTGTTTTTTCCTTTTTTCTTATAAATAGCATAAATTAGATGATGACAAAAACTATGTGAAAGCACCAAAGGGCAACAAAGGGAATCAAAGGTTACAAAGATCCTTAATTCGGTTACGCATATAAAGACATTTTCCTTCATCCAATAAACCCAAAAAACTCAACTGCTGATGTGATACATTATTTAAAAGGAAAAATTGGAATAATCATGAGATAAAACAAATTTTCAAGAATATAACAAGTTGATTCTTGTCGATATTTGCTATTGTTCGATTTGTCATCCACAAGTAGTAGTCATTGCCGGCATTTCCAAGTCCATCAAGTATTATTAAAAGAGATCGAGACTACAGTAACCCACACAGATATAATCAAGAAAACCCAATGTCATTATATAATTTTTTGTAGTGTTCGAATGATAGAGACATTGAAAAGGTGATAAGTACTATATATACATGTCATCCTATATATATGTTGAGTATACCATAATAGGGTTCATTCAAAGACATTTCTTGGAGATTATCCCACGAAAAAATATCGATCTTTTGAAAAGACATTGAGACTTTCAAATGTCGTCTGCGGTTTGCACTGTAGGATCAGTGATCAACAATGCCAGAAACTTGAATCGAGAGTTCACGATAACAGCTCGGGTTGTAGCACCAAAGAGACCAACTTTGCCTGAATTATCGTTGAAAGGCATTCCTCACACTGATCTTCATGTCCGAGAGATCGTTCAAAGACAGTTGTACACACCACGCAGCGATCATAATCTTTGCAGAAAACCCGAGTTCAATCCTGAGTTTCTTGAAGATGCCTATGATCGGTGTAGAGATATATGTGCTGAATATGCCAAGACTTTCTATCTAGGTGCGATTCTTGATTCTGAAAAATTTTCTAAAATGGAAACTTTTGTAGATTTGGTGCTAATTAAGTGTGCTTTGAAATTTGACAGGAACCAGACTTATGACTGAAGAAAGACAGAAAGCAGTATGGGCTATATATGGTAAGTGCATGCATGAAAAGCTAATTTATCAAATCATTTTTCATGTGGGTGTGTCTTATAAAGATTAAAAACATAACTCGATCTACAGTTTGGTGCAGGAGAACAGATGAACTCGTTGATGGCCCTAACGCCACCCACATGAAGTGCTACTGTTCTTGACAGATGGGAAGAGAGACTCGAAGATCTCTTTAATGGCCGACCCTTTGACATGCTTGATGCTGCCCTCACAGACACCGTTCAAAAGTTCCCACTAGACATTAAGGTAATACCCTAATCACTACAATCAGCTTTAAAGTTTATAAGCTTCATACGTCTAAGTAATTTTTTGGTTTTCAGCCGTTCAGAGATATGATCGAGGGAATGAGGATGGACACCAAGAAAAGTCGCTATGAAAATTATCAAGAACTTTTACCTATATTGCTACTATGTTGCTGGAACAGTTGCTCTGATGACTGTTCCTGTCATGGGTATCTCTCCGGAATCATCATCACATGCATCAAGCATCTATAATTCTGCTCTCAGTCTTGGCATCGGAAATCAGCTCACGAATATCCTTAGAGATGTAGGAGAAGAGTAAGTTTTCTACATTGTTGATGTTCATTCTCATATGCATGCATGCTCTATACATTTTGGAGATAGATTATATATCTTCTCTCCAATAGTATTAGAGCCGAGGTCTATAGCGTAGTCTATCAAGAGCTTGTTGGTGTCCCACATTGGCTAGACAAAGTTTCATCAGCCTCTACACATATTAGAGTCTACCTTTTATCTTCTTCTTAATTACATTTCATTTTGTTTCAGTGCATTAAGAGGTAGAGTTTATCTTCCTCAAGATGAGCTAGCCCAATATGGGCTATGTGATGACGATGTTTACTCAAGAAGAGTGACTGATAACTGGAGAGAATTCATGAAAGGGCAAATTAATCGGGCTAGGTTTTACTTCAACCAAGCCGAAGAAGGAGCTTCCAAGCTTGACAAAGATAGCCGATGGCCGGTATGTTCATATTTGAATTTCAAATCTTTATTACTCCATTATTTATCCCAAAAAAGTAAATAAAAGTGTCTGTTTTTAATTCGGGCTTTGTGATTGCAGGTGTGGTCATCGTTGTTGTTGTATCGAACTATCTTGGATGCTATTGAGGAGAATGATTATGATAACTTGACAAAAAGAGCTTATGTCGGTAGGACTAAGAAACTTCTCATGTTACCTTTATCGTACACAAGATCTGTATCAATGTCCGGCTTCGCCTTCCATTAGATTTCAGGGTTGTACATTCGTGTCAGTGGGATATAGATACATGTCTTTCCAGTTATACAGTTTGAGGATAAACTATATATTTGGTCACAAGGATCTTAATTTCGATACATAGAATGTCCTTGTGTGAGGCGTTTGTATACATACAATTAAAGAATCTGTCTATAGAACTTTTAAATTGATGAACTCTAAACGACGATACGTTTGGCAGTTTTTAGTAGTTTTGGGGGTAACATGTCATTGTTTATTTTTATTTTTTTCCGGGCAGAATTGAAAACAACCCAAATAACTAAAAACGGAGAACAAAATGTAGCATCACTACCAAAAGGTTTTTAGCCCAACGGTATCAGGTGTTGCCCTCCTTTCTTGAGGTCGAGGGTTCAAGTCTCGTCTAAGACCACACAGGTGGATTGAGGAGTGGTTTAGAAGTATATATATATATATATATATATATATATATATATATACACCTCACCCAACTCGTTGAGTTGGCTTATGCAACTCGTCGAGTCCTTCATCCCATTTTTCATTCAGACGCTTTTAAGCGAAACCAAAGCTTCAAACTGTAGATCTATCATCCTAGGTTGTAGATATCACGTAAAGTTGCCAACTTTACGTGCATGCAAGGCCTCAAAGGGCTTAAAATACTAGAACTAATCTTAACAAGAGGTTTAGGGCATGGAGAATGGTCAAAACTTCATAAAGCTTGAGGCTTTATGTACATAAGGGCCTAGAGGAGTCCAGATCTGAAACTACACCCTCTAGACAAGCTTAAACCCGAGAATGGCCCCATTTTGCACCAAAAATGCCCATATACTCACAAAAGATGAGATCTAAGAAATGGAAAGCCAAGGTAAAGACTTTTTACCTCCAAATGGATGCCAACACGATGTAGATGTTAGATCTATAAGCTTTTTCCCGTTCCAAGCCTCTAAATCTTCAAGTATCTTCAAGAAATGTATCAAACACACACTTTTAGCCTCACACACACTCAAAATAGGGGTTAGCTCGATTAGGGTTTCTCTCTGGTCGTGAAAAGATGGTAAGGAGGCTGGAAGGGAGGACTTAAGGTTCTTTAAATAGGGTGCAAACCCTAAAAATTAGGGTTTTCATGTCCAGCCTCAACTCGTCGAGTTGGGTCCTCCAACTCGTCGAGTTGGGTTCTAGAATCTACGCGGCTTTATCAGTTTCTACACGACGAGTTGGGGCAGCCAACTCGTCGAGTAGGTCTATGATTATGATTTTATATATATATATATAATATATATATATATATATATATATATATATATATATAGGAGTAGGATCAAATGAGAACACCAAAAGGTTGAGAACGCGAGAACAAAGTATATTCATTTGTGATTCCATGTATTCATTAGTGGATGAATGATAAATTTTTACGCCTTTAATTTCAATTGAAGAGAAAAAGCATATTCATGTTGATTATGCGTAAGAATTTATCATTTCTCCACAAATGAATACATGGAATCACAAATGAATATACTTGTTCTCGCGTTCTCAACCTTTTAGGTGTTCTCATTTGATCATTCCCTATATATATATATATATATATATATATATATATATATATATTATATATATATATATATATATATATATATATATATATATATATATATATATATAGGGTGAGGTTCAATAGATAACCATAATTAACCAATGAACCAAGGAACCAATCTTTTTTTCAACTTTTAGAACTTATTTTCTATCAAAAAAAAAACTAAAAATACAGAAATTCATAACTTTTTATCCTTTTTCCAATATAATCAAATTCGAATTTTTTTTTTTTTTTACGTCAAATTCACAATTTGAATCTTTGAAAATTCACAATGTGAATCCGGATTCACACGGTGAATCCGAAAAATATTTTTCACATTCACAATGTTAATATATGAATTTAGATATTTTTAGATTTTTTTTCAATAAAGAATAAGCTCTAGAAATTGAAAAAAAAGATTTGGTTTCTTGAAGAACCAATAATTATGGTTCTCTATTGAACTTTTCCATATATATATATATATATATATATATATATATATATATATATATATATATATATATATATATATATAAGAGACAAATATATTATATACCAACAAAAATAAATAAGTAAAAAATTGATTGTTCATTATTTATCGATCAAAAGTAAAATATGTAAATAAAAGTGTTTATTTAACCAATTAACTTAAATAGTTTATTTATAACACTAATTAATTAATCAACGATTAACTAAATACTCCCTCCGTCAGAAAATTATAGTCCATATTTCATTTTTGGTTTGTCCCAAAATAATAGTCCACTTCTAAAAATAAATAACATTTTTACCAAAATATCTCTCATTATTTATAGCACCTGGTTCCTGGTATGTATTTCATTTATGTAATTTTACATTTTTGGCCTGGGACTCGGCGAGTTGATGGCCCAACTCGCCAAGTAGAAGCGGGTTAGAACGCGGGGTTTAAGTATGGGACTCGTCGAGTCGGATCGTGGAGTCGACGAGTAGGCTCTGTCTGGACAAAAACCCTAATCTGAGGGTTTGCACCCTATTTAATCATCTCATTCCACCCCCACTTGTCCCTATTGCTCCCAGAAACCCTCCTTAGCAAACCCTAAGTGTTTTGGTGCAAGATTCAAGGCTTTTGAGTGATTTTGTGGATTTTGATCACAAGGAAGAAGGAAGAGCATAGAAGGATCAAGAGGAGACTGAAGGATTCGAGTTTGGTGCATCATTTGCTGTTCTCAGAAGGTATAAAGTCTATACCTTGCTTGTTCTTTTGTTAGATCCCTTTTTGGGAGATTTAGGGCTTTTATAAGTCATTCTTGGTAGCCAACCATGATTGCAAGCATGGTTGGGGGTTGAGGCTTCGGATCTAGGTCCATGGAAGGGTCACAAGGCAGTTAGGGGTTGCTTTTGCACCCATGGAAGGCCCCATGCATCTTAAGAGCTTCTTTTTGGGCATTTTAGGCTCAAAGTCCCATGCATGCACGTAAAGTTTGTAACTTTACGTGTTAGATTGAGTTTAGGGACCTAGATCTATCATTTGGACAAGAGTTGCACTCCAGAAATCGAAGAAATAAGACTTGGACTGCATCGACTCGGCGAGTCGTTCTTGGGACTCGGCGAGTCCAAGGTTAGACTCCCCTTTTCTGTTATGGTTCGTGGGAACCAGTTGAGTGAAAGAAAGGTTTTAGAGGGTCCAAGGGAGTGACCCAAACGTATTGGGATAAGCCTTAGTCCTGGAGTTCATAGGACTCGACGAGTGCACGAGCAGACTCGGCGAGTCCAAGGCAATCTCCCAACTCTTGAAGATGAACTCGACGAGTTGTTCATACAACTCGGCGATTCGAGGACAGGACGTGTTCTTAGGATGAAGATGGACTCGACGAGTGTTCATACCGCTCGGCGAGTCGGAAGAAGGTTCATCCGAGGTTGTGTTAGAAGGAGAACTCGTCGAGTCGTTGCTAAACTCGACGAGTAGGGACGTGGATGAGGACAGTTAAAGAAATAGGGACTCGACGAGTTGACGACCCAACTCGGCGAGTCGGGTCAACTGGAAGTTGACTTTGACTTTGACTTGGACTTGGTCTGGGGTAAAATAGTCATTTTACCCTAAGGGTAGATATCAGATTCTGATTAAGTGTTTTGTGGGGATTATAGCCGGAGGACTTCCGGAGCAGCAGCAGTCAGAGATTCCCCGCACAGATTATCAGCAGCTACTCGTTTGAGGTGAGTTACCTTTCAGTAGTGGTGGGTCTACGGCCACAATGTCGGCCCACCAGTAGGAGTTGTATGTTAGATGATTGTCTTTGTGACATTCATCTAGGGTTGCTGCTACCTGATATGTTTATGTGCTAGCATGATATGTTATGTGTTATATGTGATAGTGTTAGTAGGGGGAGAATAGTCCCCAAGTTCGGTCGTTAGGACCGAAGGGTAGGTCGGGCACCCCAGTATTGCCTGACAGTATGTTCATGCTATGATATTATGTGGTAGTAGTAGGAGGTGAAATAGTCCTCGGATGTCGATCGTAAGGACCGACGGGTAAGTCAAGCACCCCATAATGGCTTGACCTGGGTAGTCAGGCACCCCATAATTGTCTGGCGGTATATGTGTGTTATGTGGTAGGGGTAGGGGTGAAATAGTCCCTGATAGTCGGGTGAAACAGACCGACGGGTAAGTCAAGCACCCCAGAATGGCTTGACCTGGGTACGTCAAGCACCCCAGAATGGCTTGACCTGGGTAGTCAGGCACCCCAGAACTGCCTGACAGTATGTATTGTATATGTGTGGTACGATGGGGGAACTCACTAAGCTGCGTGCTTACAGTTTACAGTTTTGGTTTCAGGTACCTCTTCAGCGAAGGGGAAAGAGCTGGCGCGGTAGCGGCACATCATACACACACGCATTGATTTTCCGCACTCGAGATATTCTGGGATTGTACTTTGACATGTTGCTATTATATGTTTTGGGTTTTCAGACATGATACATTGATTCACAAAATGATACATTGTTACGCAGTTTTCTTATGAATGTTTTATAATCCGTTAATTAAAATGAAATTTTTGGACTCGAAATTTGGGATGTTACATTATTACTTAACCAACTAAGCATTTAGTGGAACATTAAATGCAAAGTAAGGACAAAATTGTCATTTTATTGTATAAAGTTAGTGGTAATTAATGTTTCCTTAATTTGTGTGTTTTTTGTCTGTGGACAATAATTTTGGGACGGAGGGAGTAATAGGTTTAGGTTATTAAATTTCTTGGCTTGAGAAAAGGCTTGAAAAGTCCACTATCAGAGACAAATTTCAATCCAAGCTATCTTTATGGAAATCAAAAACTTTATCCAGAGGTCGTCGTATGCTAATCAAAGCAGTCCTTGGAACCTCCCCACGTATTATCTTTCGCTCTTTAAAGCGCCGGCTAGAGTTATTGAAACTCTTGAAAAGATTTGTCACAAATTTCTTTGGGGGTATAGTAATG